CTAATCTGTGGTATCAGCTATTTCTCCAAAGAGGGAATGATAGTTAAAATGAGTGCTAGGTGCTCTCATGGCTACAGGAATATTCCTGCCTAGGCCCTCTTCATGGACAGAGCGAGGGAATGTATATATGTGTATACCAGGGTGTCCCAAAAGTCTTAGTGCTATTTAAGCTTTAAGAACTTCAGAAGTACAAATGCTATTAATTGACAAAAGTATCATTGGAAAACTTAGTGCTTTATATTTCTTTATACCTAGTTTTGTGAATTTTGAAAAATGAGTTTTTATTTATTTATTTTTATTTTTAATTTTGTTTTTGTTACAGATGTGTCTCCTTTTTTACCCCATTGACACCCTCCTCCCCATCACCCCCCTATCCCATCCCCGGCTTTGTTGTCCATGTCCTTTGGTTATGCGTACATGCATATAAGTTCTGTGGTTTATCTCTTCCCTCCCCCTACCACCCACTCTTCTGAGGGTCGTTAGTCTGTACCCTACTTCCATGTTTCTGGGTCTACCCTATTCCTCAGACTGTAATGTTTGTTATATTCAATAAATAAGTGAGATCATGTGGTATTTATCTTTTTCTGCTTGGCTTGTTTCACTTAGGATGATACTTTCCAGGTCCCTCCATGTCATCTCAAAGGATAAGAGATCTTTCTTACAGCTGGATATGCTTCATTTTAAATAATATATCCGCTTGTACCTGCTAGTTCAAGTCCAAACACCCCCTCACAGAACACCTTAGTTATGTTAAATAAAGCCAGATCCTTATTATCATTCCAGAGGTTCACATCAGAGTTTCTGAAGTCACCTGCTTGCCAAAATTGATGTACCAGAGAGAAAGAAAAACTTGAGCAGTACTACTAGCTCATTAATGTAAAAGCAAAGGGGCAGTGCTCACTGCTAGCCTGTTACATTCCCTGTCAAGTTAGGTGACTGTATCCATTTAAGTTTTTTTGCAGAAGTAAGTTTGTCTTTCCTCCCTCAGTTCTACATTGCTTATATATCTTAGTGATAACTGAACATTTACACCAAGCTGAGATAACGTTTTTGGTATTGTGTTCAGCAATCAAGATTTTTAGTGATATGTCTGAAGACATAATCAGAAATTCCTTTGTTTTTGATCTAACCCAAGAAAAATAAATTAACTGCAGAGAAAAATTATATCAGAGATTTTAATTTAAAAAGTAACCTAAAAATTATTTACAATGCTTTTTTTATTCTATGCCATTGCACCTTTTTAAAAATCCTCTCCTGATGACATATTTTTATTGATTTTAGAGAAAGGGAAAGGGAGGGGGGGGGAGAAAGGGAGAGAGAGAGAGAGAGAAACATTGATGTGAGAAACATCCAATGATTGCATTTCATATGTGCCCCCACCACTGATCTACTATTTTGAAATCCCTCTTTGGGAGAGTGAGGAGAGTGGGTGAGCCAGAAACTCAGTCTGCATGGAGTCTTGATGGACAGAAGTGGAGCAGGAGGCCTGTGTCTGCAGCACTGTCAGGGGTGTCTCTTGGGGCACCTGCCCACTCACAGTGACACCACCATCAATTTCTTATTGGAAGGGGGCAGGCTCCCTCTGGATCCAGCCACATTCACATGCCTGCTTTGTGTGGGTATACCATGGGCAGGTGCCAACCCAGTCTGGGCCAGTCAAAGCTGGTTCCCTAGAAAATGAGTAGTGGACTTATCCAGTGGCATTCTGGCTCCAAGCCAGTTCATTCTGACCTGCAAGAACCCACTTCCAAATTTTTAAGAATTTTGTAAGGCAGCTGTTAAGTATAGCTGTTATTAAAAGTTAAATGTTTAATTACAATTAAACCCCTTATATTACAAAGGTGATAAATACACAAAACCTATTACTAATTATATTACTACATTTTACTGTTACTTATGCACTTGTAGTTAGTTATGACTATTGTATCTTTGTGGTGGTAATACTAATAATATGGCTACTACATATCTTCTACTCATTCCACAATTGAGTCATACTGGTAACTGGAAATCAGCCACAGAAGGAGAATTTTTGCTATAGAAACAGACAGATGCTACCAATCTGGACTTGATTTATTGTTTTGTTGATAATCTAAACTTTAAAAAGTTATAGAATTATCTCAACCTTGAGCCACATAATTCTTTTTTGGTGGGGCAGGGATGTCCCTGACTCTACCCATTAGATGCCATCTTAACAACCAAAAATGTCTCTAGACACTGCCAAGTGTCACCAGAAAAGCAAAATCTCTCTCCACTTGAGAATCACTGATACAAATTAAATGTCAAAGTGCTGCATCTGTAGCTGTTACATAGTAAAGGAGACAAAGACTTGAGGAGATAGTCTTCTGGGATTGGAAAGCTATTATCTGATTCAGTAAAGAAGTTTCTCACACTATTGACAAATCGGAAATTAGAACAGGCAGCTTCATTGCTTTATTTTTGTCTTATTAACTTATGCAAAAATATCAACCAGAGTTCATGTTAGAGCTGGACTCATTCATCAGTTGTAACCACAGATTGGATAGGGATATTGGCTAGGGAGAAATAACCAAGACACACATAGCATTAGAGAAAGTATGAAAAGTACCACCTATGAATCCATAGCAATAAAGTAAAAAACCCAAAAGAGATGATTTCCTAACAGCAAGCTATGTACCAAAATTGTTCAACAAAAACTAGAGAATAAGGATAATCCATTATAGCAGAAAGAAAGATTGTAAGTCCCCCAATTTACATGCTACCAGATACAGTTTTTTAATTACTGAGATCCATGTCCTTTTTAAAGAACAGACAACTCTAAAGATGAAAGAAAGAAAAAAAGGAAGGAAGAAAGGAAAAAAGGAAGGAAGGAAGGAAGGAAGGAAGGACGGAAGGAAGGAAGAAAAAAAGCTCAAACTTTCTGCTCTCAGAACCCCTTTCTATTCTCAAAAATATTGAGGACCTCAGAAATGTTTTATTCATGTGGGTAATAACTATCAATACATTTTATACTAGAAATTAAAACAAAAATTTTAATAATTGTTATTAAAAATAATAATAACACACATTATGTATTAAATCAAATAATACATTATTGTGGAAAATTATGTTTTTTAAAAATTTAAGGAGTGGCATCCTTTTACATTAATGCAACCTCTTTTATGTCTTGCCTAAATAAATCTGAATTCCAATATCTGCTTCTACATTCAATCTGTTGTAATGTGTAAATTCTGCATGATGTATGTGAAGAAAATCTACCTTCACATAGCTATGTAGTTGGAAAAGAGAAAAAATCTCTTAATCAGATAACTGTGGACATACATACTATACCAAAAATGACAGTGGTAGTTTTCTAAAAGTTAGTTGCAATGTGAAATCTAAAACCATATCTATAAACTTTTCATACTGTTACTATATAGAAATTCACTGGTCTAGTTTGAACATTGAATGGATCTTTTACTCATGCATAATTTTATAACATTAAGCATTGGTCATTTGGAAAATATTAGTTCACTGATTTATACAGATCTTCCAAATGTTGACACACTTCATGATACAATATCTTAAAAATCACATTCATTGCCTGGCCAGTGTGGCTCAGTGGATTGAGTGTTTTCCCATGGACTGAGAAGTCCTGGTTTGATTCCTGGTCAGGGCACATGCCTGGGTTTCAGGCTTTGTCCCCAGTAGGGGTCATGCAGGAGGCAGCCAATCAATGTTTCTCTCTCACATGGATATTTTTATCTCTCTCTCCCTTCCTCTTTCTCTAAAAAATCAATGAAAATATAAAAATAAATAAAAGTATAAAATTTAAAAATAAATAAAAATTACATTCATTAATATCACCCTTTATCTCCAAAAAAGCCTTTCAGTGATTGGAAGGATAATAAGCTCATGGTGGTGGATACGATTACAACTTGCTAATTGTAAAATAATAATTTTTACTGAAAGCTTCTACTTTAACACTAGCAAGAAATATGGTCAATCATTTTCTTTAAATAACAGGCTCACTTTGTTCATTTGAAAGAAGACATCTGCCATATACCCAAGTCTAAATGACCCTAATTTGTCTCTTGGTAATTCTTCAAGTAGAAGCAATGTACCATTAAAAAACAAAAGAAAAGAAAAGCTACTTCAATTTGCAATTCAAACACTCTCTGGGCACTTTTCCTAAAGCCAAGCATCATTTGTCAGTACAAAGCACAAGTGCTTTCTGTACACTTCCTGTTTGATCCCACAGAATTAAGAAGATGCCTACTTAAGCCCTGGCTGGCTTGGCTCAGCAGTTAGAGAGTTGGCCTGGGTACCAAAGAGTCACGGGTTTGATTCTGGTCAAGAGCATGTACCTTAGTTTCGGGATCGGTCCCTGGCCCTGGTGGGAGGCAACCAATCAATGTGTCTCTCTCACTGAGCCATACCACCACGCTAGAATTAATCATTCTGACTTTATATTAGGAACTTTAAAAAAAAAAAAATCCTCACCCTGGCCAGTTTGGGTCAGTGGTTAGAGTATCGGCCTGTGGTCCAGAGAGACCTGGGTTCAGTTTCTGCTAAGGGTGCATACCTTGATTAGCTTGTCCCCGGCCTTGGTTGGTCATGTGGCTGGCAGCCACTCACTGTGTCCCTTTCATGTTGATGTTTCTCTCTCCCTCCCACTCCATCTAAAAAAAAAGGAAAATGTCCTCAGGTAAGGATAAAAAAAATCCTCACCAAAGGATACTTTTTTTCATTTATCTTCAGATAAAGTGGGAGGGAGAGAGAGTGGGGGGAACATTGATGTGGGAGAGACACATCGACTGGTTGCCTCCCACATGACCCTGGACCGAACCACAACTGAGGTAGGTACTTGCCCTTGACTGGACTTGAACCTTCAACTCTTTGGTCTGGGGTCCAATGCTGTAACTGTTGAGCCAAACTGGCCAGGGCAAAAACACTGTTTGAAGTGAAATTGGCTATTTTGTGTGTGAGTGTGATAGTGAACTCAGATTTGGCTGCCTGCTGCTTTGTGAGTCAATACTCCAGAGACAGGTGTTGATGGAAAAAAGACAGTTTACTCAAATGCCGGCAACCTGAGCAGATGGCGGACTCCTGTCCTAAAGACCACCTTTACATCTCAGTGCAGGCAGGGGTTTACAAGGAGGGAGAGGGAAAGCAGAACAAAAAAACCATGGGGAGGGGAGTTGGAAGTTCTCTATGTGTAAGTCAGCACAGTCTATTCCGATGATTATCTTGAAGCTGGTCAAGTGGAGGTCCGGTTTTCATGGATGGAAGTCATCAAGTCTCCTGAAGCTGGACTGTCCGGTTGCTGGAGTCAGTTTCCTTTGAAGTTAGTCCTTGGAACTTCTACAGAAATATGCTGTTTTTCAATAGTTACATATTAGTTAATTCATTTAAAAAAGAAACACTATTAACAGAAACAAGTTTAAAAGAATGGAGGGGTGGGTTACTGGAGTGCACAGGAAGGAAGAATATGACTACAGTTTAGTGCCACTGCTTTGATTCATGCCAATGCATCAGCCAACTTACCATTGCTTTTGACCTTCAGTGCAAATGTTAACTTTCCCAAAAGTAATGTATAAATTCCACATTTAACTTATACTTTTTATGGAGTGGGATTTTGGAAGAGAAGAAAATGATCCTGAAGATCACAAGGAAGTATACATTTCCAATAACAGTCATGAAATGATGAAAAAATATAATGGATTGTTGCTACTGGCTGGAAGGGGTAACTGCTACAGGAATTTTTGTCCTACCATAAAGAAATAAAACAACAACAACAACAACAACAACAACAACAAAAAGACCCCCAAAAAATATATAACTATTTTTCAAACATAAAGCAACAGGCAATGAACAAATGAGGTGAGCACTAGCCCTGGACTACTACCCGGAGGCAGTGTTCAGGATACAGCTCAGGTACAGGAAACCCAAACAGAGCCTAGTATCTCACTAAATTGAGGAAAAAGAGATTACAGTTCTGGGAGATTGGGGTAGAACGCAAGAAAGTAGAAAGATGTTCAGGGGGAAATCTTGAAGCTCTGCCAAGGGGTCCTTTCAAACTATTGGCTGAATCCTAATCTGCATATGTTTGAATGAAACTCCCCAGGCTGAGTTAAGAACCACCATAAAGCAGTGGGCCATGCAACACCCAGAGCTCACACAAGAATGGGCATATACCAGGCACGGGATAGAGTCTTCTGAAGGGAATCTCCCAAGTAGTGGGGCCAAATTATCCTAGACTGAAGGCTGCTCTGACTCACACTAATCAAGCAAAAAAGCAAGCTTAAAGGATCAAAGTGATTCCAACTAACTTAACTGCCTACCAGATAAAAGGCCAGTATTTCTCAGGAATACTACAAAATCTAGAACCCAACAATATAAAACTACAAAAATCAATCAAAGCAATCCACCATATCAGTAGGCTAAAGAAGATAAAGCATGTCACCTTACAAAAAAGCATTTGCCAAAATGCAACACCCACAGCAAAAGACAGCAACCTAGGAAAGAACATCTACAAAACACACACTTACATACCCTACAACTAAAATCATAGTTAATGGTGAAAGAATCAATGGTTCTCACTAGGTTAAGGAAACAACAAAAGGTAAACAAACAGTAAAATCCATTCAAAGGAATACTATTGTGCAATAAAAAGGAATGAACAGCTGAGACATGCAACAGCATGAAAAGTCTCAACACATTATGCATATAAAATATTCCAGAAAAAAATACCAACTATGTGATTTTATTGTTATGAATTCTTAAGTTAAAACTATTGTGATAGAAGCAGATTTGAGGTTGCCAGGATCTGGGGCTTGGGCTGGATATGGACTACAAAGGAGCAGGAAGGAAATTTGAGGGGGGATGCAAACATTTCTATATTATAGAGTGGTTAAAAGACACTCCCGGGCCCTCCCTAAACTTCCTATCATCTGTTATGTTCTGTACATCTCCAACTGCATCCATCCCCTAGCACTGTTTACCACCCTCTTGTCCTGTGCTAACCACCTCACCCAAAATACACACACCACCACTTTTTGGAGGAGAGAACTATTTGTGACAGCAGCTACTACAGTTCATAGCACCCAAAAAAAGGTGCAAGACATTGCAAGTGGGCAAGTGAGGATGATGACAAAAGCTGACTTTGAGCAGCACACAAATGTTAGAAAAATCTATCAAAACACATTTATATGGCATATGTCATCATTTTACATTTAACTTCTATGAAACAGGGATACAGTTTTCAATGGAAAGCATCATGCAATTATAATTGTGTCCTTTTATTTTTCTTAGTGGTAAATTTTTTGAAAAAATATTTTTATTGATTTTTTTTAGAGAGAGAGAGAGATAGAAACATCAATGAGGGAACATCAGTTGGTTCCTCCTGCACACCCCTGGTGGGTGTAGAGCCCGAAACCGGGACGTGTGCCCTGACCAGGAATTGAACCGGTGACCTCTTGGTGCATGGGATGCTGCCCAATCCACTGAACCACACTAACTAGGAAATGGCAAATTTAAAAATAACATTCCATCTTAGAATTGATGGCGGAAGTCTGGCTCTAAACTGCAGAATGGCTGAAACCAAGATGCACAGGATTTTAACTGCACATTGTCACTGCAGTGGACCTCTTAGTCTCTCGAGGCTGCACACTGCCAAAGGTTTGGCACAAGTCTGGGAAGTACAGCAAGTATTTTTTCATGTGGAACTGTGAGCTGCTCTGGCTGTGCAGGTAGATGCCAGGTCCACCTCTGCCTCCACCACACACAGCAAGGTTGGGCATGCTGCCCAATTTCTGACATCCAGCATGCCCCTCCCACCCCACACCCTGTCTGTGCTGCTGCCACATGTGCACCCCAGGCACACCTTGGATGAGAATCCTCTGCCAGCGTGGAGTCATTGGTGTTCATCATGCCCAGGAGCGTGCTCTTAGCTGCAGTGCCTGGTGCGAGAGAAACAGTTGTCAATGGAGTTCAAATGTTTGCTGCTAGGAGTGCATGGAGTATAGAAGTTAGCTTTACCCATTTGTCTCCCAGCCCAAGAGTTTGCCCTAGGAACCCCGGGTGGAGTCTGGTGCTGAAAATGTAGGTGGAGGCTGTGCAGGTGCACGGAGCTGAGGCCAACCCACCTGCAGGGAGAGGCTAGTGGGTTTGGGGGCCCAGGGTAAAGGTTGGGGGATCTGCAATTATTGAACTTAGAAAAAAGTAAGCAGCCAAGAAAAATAAAGGTGTTACCCTTGGGATCCAGGTGCTTTCTATTTTTACCAAGTAAAGGGGTGTTGGAGGGTAGGGCTTATCCCTAAAGGCAAGCCTATTCTTTGCTTTGATTTTTGATTCCCAGTGGGAAATGGGACTGAAGACAACACCCACATAAAGGTTTCCTATGACAAATGTGTGCCAAGAGCAAGGGCTTTGTTTTTTTAAAGGTGGAAAGAAATTCTACAGATACAAAGAAAACCAAGAAAATGTCTATTCTAGTATTATGTTAAACCAGATGAATAGCCTATTTTTGCAGGTCAATAAACAGCCCAGCAGATGCATTTCATATAATTCAACTAAATTCTATTACCAAATCACATAAAATGATTTCAATTTCCATGAAGACTCTAAAAGAGAAGGAAGGTGGAACATGGAAAATGACTGAGGCAAAAACTTACCATGCCACCACTTTGTATATAGTCCATTCAGCTTATCTGAGTCCACATTATAAATATCCACCAATATGGCACGCAATGCTAGGGCCACATGTGAAATTTGGGGTGGGCCTGTTGGCCAAGTGCACAAAGACATGAGTTCAGTTCTCATCACCCCCCAGGGGTGAATGCAAAGTCCCCAACATGTGGCAATATATAACAACCTCAACTCTTCTGTTACAAAGGAATCTCATGAAATTGTTCTCTTTTCCTCCCCTGGAGAGACTGGAGTCCACAGAGGCCAAACCAAGGCTGGGTCTCTGATATTCAAACACAGCTCCAGTTCCATGATGGCTGCGGTGCAGGTGAAAGCAACACACACCTCCCAGCTTCAAACCCAATTTATAGCTGAAAGTAGAGCAATCAACCTGAATTACAACTGGAGGCAGTGTTTCTCTTAAGATCAGAACAGCCCTGGCCAGTTTGACTCAGTGGTAGAGTGTCAGCCTAGGGACAGAACAAGACAGTGATGTCCACTTTCACCCCTCTTATTCAACATAGTACTGGAAGTATTATGAGCCACAGCAATCAGACAAGAAAAATAAACAAAAGACAAGCAAATTGGAAAGGAGGAAGCACAATTGTCATTATTCACATATGACATTATATTATATATAGAAAACCCTAAAGACACCAACAAAAAACTACTAGATCCAATAAAGTAACTTTAGCAAAGCAACAGCATACAAAATCAATATCCATAAATCAATGTCATTTCTATACATCAATATTAAAGTATAAAAAAGGGAAACTAAGAAAACAATTGTACTTATTTTGCAACAACACACAAATAAACTACCTAGATATAAATTTAACCAAGAAGGTAAAAGACCTATGCTTGGAAAATTATAGGACATTGATGAAATAAATTGAGGAAGATTCAAATAAGTGAAAAGATATAACATAATCATGGATTGGAAGACAACATCCTTTAAATTTACACACTGCCCAAAGCACTCTATAGATTTAAAGATATTCCAGGCCTGGCCTGTGTGGCTCAGTGGTTGAGCATCGACCCATGCACCAAGAGGTCGCTCGCTGGTTTGATTCAGAGTCAGGGCACATGCCCAGATTGTGGGCTCGATCCCCAGTGGGGAGCAGGCAGGAGGTGACCAACTGATGTTATCTCATCAATATTTCTCTCTCTCTCTATCCCTCTCCCCCTTTCTATCTCTAAAAAAAAAAAAATGAATAAAGGGGGGGGAGCAATTTGAATTAAAATACCAATGGCATATTTCACAGATCTAGAAAAAATATTCCAAAAATTTAGATGAAACCAAATATCCTGAATAGCCTCAGCAATCATGAGAAAGATGAACTAAGTTGGAGAGATAACAATACCGGGTATCGAACTATACTACAAGGCCACTGTAATCAAAATAGCCTGAAACTGGCTTAAGAACAGACATATAGACCAGTGGAATTGAACAGAGAGCCCAGAAATCAACCCACATATTTATACTCAATATTTCACAAAGGAGGCAAGAGCATACAATGGAGTAAAAACAGTCTATTCAATAAATGGTGGTGGGAAAGTTGGACAGAATCTAGACCACCAACTTACACCATACACAAGATTAAAGCCAAAATGTATAAAAAACTTAAATGTAAGTTACAAAATCATAAAAACCCCAAAATAAGACATAGGCAGTAAAATCTCAGACATCTCTCATAGCAATACTTCAGCCGATTTTTCTCATAGGGCAAGGGAAACATAGGAAAACTAAACAAATGAGACTACATCAAACTAAAAAGTTTCTGCACAGTAAAAGAAACCATCATCAAAATGAAAAGGGATCCCACTGTATGGGAGAACATATTTGCCAATTATATATCTGATAGGGGTGAATTTCCAAAATATAACTTATATAACTCAACACCAGGAAGACAAACAATCCAATTAATACATGGACAAAGGACTTGAATAGATACTTCTTCAAAGAGGACATACAGATGGTCAAGAGACATGTGAAAATGCTCCAAGTCACTGGTCGTCAGAGAGATGCAAATTAAAAGTACAATGAGGTATCACCTCACACTTGCCAGAATGGCTACCATCAAAAAATCAAACAACAAGTGCTTGAGAGGATGTGGAGGAAAGGGAACCCCATTGCACTAATGGAGGAAATACAGATTGGTGAAAGCACTGTGGACCACAGTACAGAATTTGCTCAAAAAATTAAAAATGGAACTGCCCTATGACACAGTGATCCCACTTCTGGGAATATATCTTACAAATCCCCAAACACCAATTAGAAAGAATACATGCACCCCTGTGTTTATAGCAGTGCTGTTTACAATAGCCAAGACAGGAAACAGCCCAAGTGCTCATCAGTAGATAGTGGATAAAAAAGGTATTGTACGTTTACACAATGGAATTCTATGCAGCTGTGAAAAGGAAGAAACTCTTACCTTTTGGGACAGCATGGATGGGCATAGAGATTGTAATGCTAAGTGAAATAAGCCAGTCAGAGAAAGACAAATATCATATGATCTCACTTATATATGGAATCTAAGTAACAAAATAAACTGACATACTAAACAGAACCAGGGACATGGATACATGGAACAGACTGACAGATGTCACAGGGGAGGTGGGAGGAGCAACAGGTGAAAGAAAGTAAAGAAACTAGCCAAAGAACAAGAATGCTTAGCCCATGGACACAGAGAACAAAGTGGTGAGGGCCAAGGGAGGGGAGAGCTAGGTCTGGGCAGAGTGGGGCAAAGGAGGAAACATGGGGGACATCTGTAATGTCAACAATAAAAATTAAATTTTAAACATTATAATTGTTCAGAGTAAATACATTAATTAATTAATTAAGATCATGTGAGCATATAGCAAGGTGGCACCACATACAAGCCATGAGATGAGGCCTCAGAATGAAACCTACCTGACCAGCACATTGATCTTGGACTTGCCACCTCCAGAGTGTCCAGAAATAAATTTCTATTGTACAAGCAAAAATGAAAACAAAAAGAACAAAACACAGCAGCCTGCTCTCCTGCAGCCCCACTTCCTCCCTACCATGTAACAGAGGTGATAGTAGAATATTACACTCTGATTACTAATAGCAGGGCCAAGACAACTGGGTGAATAACCCACCAGCTTTTCCCACATCAACAGCAATAATTATTTTTCTTGCAGTTATCCTCATTACTCTGACTTAGGTAGACCTTGTATGTGTTCCGTCTGAATAGCCACTTCTCACTGCCCACCTGAGTTTCCCTATGGGGCAAAAAATTAACTGCCACTTAATATATTTCCATTTCTTTGATGTCCTGGCCTCACAAGTTTAAGGTTAAATCCAGAGGAACATGCTCAGAGATGGTTCTGGGTTGGAATTTTTTCCTCTTATATGTGAAGTGGTGGCTGGGGGTTTGGGTGGGGATCACTGCTGTTTCTCCTGCTACCTCCAGGCTCCCCTAGCAGGTTTCAGCCTTTGATTAGTGATGCAAACCTCTGCCTTTTTCCACCAGAAATTATGCACACTGAAAAGGAGACTATGCACAGTGCACAGTCTCTGTTCAGGTAAAAGTGTTTGGGAACTAGTAAGGTCAAATATGACTCACTGAATACCACCTAAGATCTCACCTCTCAGCCACAGGAAACACTAAATTCCAACAGACATGGTTTATGTGACGCCAGTCACCTCCCAACCGAACTGAACCGTGATGTAGGAAGGGAGAGAAGGGCAGGGAGGCTGCTGCCATGTCAGCCTGGTTCTCGCCTTTACACTGGCCCGCGCTGGACTACACAGCTTAATCCCAGTTTGATCTTGCCTGCTGTTCTCAAGCAGGAAGTGGACAACCTACCATTCTCCAAAACAAGCGCATCTGAGAGGGAACTGTCTTTATTGCCAATATTTCCATCTGTGAAGACAAAAAGCATAAGTTGATGATCAGATCCTTTACACAAAGCCCTGTCTGTGAAAATCGTGTGTAGCACCATCCCATAGCCTTCTCTGCCTGATCAGAAAAAGCTGTGGAACACAACCAAAATGCAATGATGGTCCCTGTGGGGGGCATCAGCTCGCCCCTTACCGACACAGCACCAGCCAGTCTGTGTCCTTGTGTGACAGGCACCTCAGTGCTGAGTAGCTCCACGTCCACTGTAAAGGCTGCCTGGCCTGCTTAGGCCACAGCACGGTCCCCACCCAACTCCAGGACCTGTTCTGACAGAACCCAAGGAAGTGAACTGCTGTTTATTGTACAAACGTGAAACTTCTGTAAGGAACCTGGTTTTGCTCACAGGGCAACAGATGGCTTCTCAATGAACTTCTTTTTAAATTTTTTAAAAATATTTTTAGAGAGGAATGGAGAGAAAGAGAGAGAGAAAGAAACATTGATGTGAGAGAGATACATGGATTGGCTGCCTCTTGCACGCCCCCTACTGGGAATCGAGCCTGCAATTCAGGCACCTGCCCTGACCAGGAATCACACTGAGACCTCAGTCCATGGGACCACACTCAATATACTGAGCCACACTGACCAGGTTCAATAAACTACTAAAGTCATTAGTAGAGAAATAAACTGCTAAATATAGCTTCTGTCTCTACAAAGCTTATTTTCATAGACCCCATTCAAATACCCAAGAGAACATGCCATAGAGTGAGACAGTAAGGTAATGCTCCCCTTCTTTTTTTTGTTAATGCTCACCGGAGGATTTTTTTCCATTGATTTTATTTTTAGAGGAAGTCGAAGGGAGGAAGAGAGAATGAGAGAGGAGAAGCATCGATGTGAGAGAGACACATTAATTGGTTGCCTCCTGCTTGTGCCCTGTCCAGGTCGGAGATCAAATCTGCAACCCAGGTATGTGCCCTTGACCGGGAATCATACCCAAGACATTCTGGTGTGCAGGGAGATTCTAACCAGTGAGCCACAATGGCCAGGGTGATCCTCCCCCTTTAACAGCTGGGGAAACTGAGGCACGTCTGGGAGCTGGTTTCTCCGAGATGGCTCTGCTCTCCTGGCAACATTAATAAAAGGTCCCAAGTCTTCAGATACTAAGTTTAGTGTTTTTTTTTCTTGGGGTGGGGGAGTGTGCTAAGGAAATAAGAAAAATCATAATCACTCCTCTAATTCAAATGGGCTCGTGTGATGAAAACATTACTTGAAAGAGGCATCAAAACAGAGAAGTTATATTCTTGGTGGGTATGT